AACATAAAATTATAGTACTTTTGTGTAATTTAAAATTTATTATTATGAATTTAATTATAATTGTGAATCTTAAATCAGATATTGAAATCTTTTTAGTGCCTTAAAATCATTAATTCTGTAGAGGCCACCATTACTGACTTTATCTGATGTGCTTGAACGATTTTATTACTAAAGTCACCTTTGATACCTTGTTATATGCTAAATAATGAAGCTTTTAAAGAAGTTGTTCAACTTGTGAATGAAGGAAACTGTATCTTAAATTAACAATATGTATATGAAAATTTTCGTATATATATATAAATGTATAAATATATATATGTACATTTACATATAATACATTTTACCGCCATTTATTGTTATCACAAGTACAAAGCAGGTTAATGTCTTACCTTAAAGCGCGCTTTTTCATGGGTCTCGGGTGTTCATAATTATCAAACTAAATTATTAACATACAATGCAGCTAAATAAATAAATTATGACAACAAAAATGTGCTGGTACTAAAAAAAAAATAAACACAAATGTACTTTAAATGCATATTTCGAAACTTTGTTTGCAGCTCCACTTGGCACTATAGCACCTCCACAATCTACACTTTGAGTTAGAAACCTTTATCTGATGGCTGTGTATGGCTGATAGATAATTTTTTCTATCTGTTAATTTTTTTTTGTTTGTTATCATTTGCAGTTGTTCGCTACTAGTTTTTATATTGCGCACTCGTAAATGCACCGACCGTAATGCTCCTAGCGCATCTCTGGTCTGTCAGCTGCCAACGATGCGTTACACCATCGGTCAATTACGGTCAAAATTAACCGGTTTAAGCTACGTTTTTAGCACAGACCGCAATTACAGCTGCTGCTGTTAAATGGCATATGTGGGACGGGCAGCGACAAAAATAATATCAAGAACCGATTTTACTTAATCGTCTCGCCCCGCAAAAGCTGCTAAATATAATTTAATAAGACCAGTTTTATGAATTATTTTTCCAGGTCTGTGAGTATTATTTTTTTTTTCATTTAGAATTTTTGACAGTTTTTAGTGGAACGGATATCAGCAATAAAATTTAATTTAAATTAAATGTAAGTTAAATTTTAATAAATTAAATTATGCGGACAGAAAAAATAATTAATGGAACAAAAATATTATATAAAATATAACTCCAAATGTTTTATAACTTGTATAAATTAATTGCAAAGCTTATTAAATTGGAATTTGGAAACATAAAAATTAATTTTTGATTTATTTATTTTATTATTATTTATTTAATTTATTATAATAAAAAATTTTAATTTATTATTCATTTTTTATAATTACTTTTATTTTTGTTAAAGTTCAGCCTGCACTTAAAACTCTTATATCAGTCCTAGAAAGTTGTCTTAAGTAGTAGCCAAGTCATATAAGACCGTTTATAACTTCATAATTGATTAAAATGCATAAACCCTGGTGCCAATACAACTCATCTGAAATCCAAAGGTACATAAAGAGAAAAAAGTGTTAAAGATATTATTTTCTGAATTTCTATAAACCGAGCCTTCATGCAACATATTTTAACTACCAACGAGATATGGGTTTATAAGTATAGGAAGCAAGCTAGCCAGCAATCTTTGGAATAGCGCTCTGAAAACGAGACAAAACTCAAAACACTTCGTCCAAATCATGTGAAGATCGAGGAATTATTAACAATTTTTATGATATACTATGAATGATACACACCATATTTAATCCACAAAGGTAAACGTAGAAGAAACACTAAGTTCGGGATTGACATAAGATAAACTATTGCGTACGCGTGGTGTTTATGCAAGAATATCAACTGAAATATCTAGATTTATGGAAGGCCTGATTCATAAAAAATAACAACCTACTAATAACAACCTAAATAACAAAAAAAACAACCTACTGATAAAATGAACAAAACATGGAGCAAGTCAACGAAACCGATAGATTTTTATGCCCTGTGTCAATATCACGGGACAGCTTAGACAGCTATACCGAACCGAAATTGCGGGTACAGTTTTATTAGAAACGAATCAACAAAACATATCGAATGGAGTTAAAAACCATTCTGCTTATATGAAATCTACTTAATGTTAAAGCTATTGTTTACTTTTAAGAGTTCTTACGTTACATTATCTTCAATCTATTCACAATCTGATAGAGATATCAATTCTTACCAAAAGAACGAAACGGGTTTTAAAAATAAAGATACTTTGTGACTATATTACGCATAAGTGGCATACCTGTTGGCATTTATTTCTCCAAAAGTATCTTATATCCAAAAGAACTGAAGACTTTCCTAAAAACACGTTTTATTCAATTTCCCCACTGGAGAGAATAGATGACTTTTTGCTATCATACTCCAATGATATGAGCAGCTATTTTCTAGATCTTTAAATATTTATCGATGAGATGATACTTATCCATTCCTCTATTTTGTGATATTATACACAACATAATCCTAACAGAAATCTTATCTCTTAACCTTACTGAAGTTTTACACTTCACTTATTTCTTTCATTATTCATCGGTTGTTTTAATTTAACGTCATACATTAAGTGTATAAAGTATCCAAAAAAAACACAAATTAATCATAAATCATTTTCATATTACGAATTTAAGCACTTTTTATGCAGACTATATAAAAACACTCCTTAGAAACATATATACATATGTTTCATTTTTACATAGGTGTTTCCATTCCTGGTTCCAGTAAAATTATGTTTATACAAAATAAACAGTCAATATCAATATCATGTATCAATTTCACATATTTTGTAAAGGTAATATAAAGAACTAAGACTTTTAAATTTCTTCTTTTTCCCTTGATTACAGGATCGGTATTTGTGCAATTGGTCTTTACATATAAATTGTTAAGGTCTATTCTATCTTTTAGTGGTTTTTGATCTCATACTGCTATATGTCGCAAAATAAAAACTATACAAGTCTATATAGTTTGAGATAGTTTATTTTATAACTATTGGGTTCAATTTTCTGATAACTATAGATTATAGACGAAATGTCGTATTTGATATAATAAAGATAATATGAAATAATGTTTATTTTATTTTTATAATAATTCTAGTGACCAAATTATTTATTAATAGTTCTGGTTTTTAAACGTACTAATTGGTAAATGGTTTAAATAATTAATTTTTTAGAATAAATTTTTAAATAGAAACTAAAGGTTTAAATAAAATAAATAGTTTTTTAATAACTAATTTGAAAAAAGTGTATTATTTAAACAATTTACCAATAAGCCCGTTTTAAAAACAATTAATTAATTATTAATTTTATTTTTTTTTAAGATTATTAACTAATTAAAAACATCTTATTTAATATAAGAAAGAAAATATAAAATTATTTTTATTACTTATTATTTAGGCCGTATGCTAATTCGAGTAAATTGATGGTAAATTGAGGGAAATAATAAATTATGTCGGAATGGCAGCGAATGCTGGTATTATTTACCAGAATTTCGAGTAGGGCAAATTAGATGAAAATTTTATGAGATGTTTAATAAATAAATAAATAAATTTGAAAACTTTTAACTAAAAATTATAAAAAAATGCAATAAATAAATAAATAAATATTTACAGAAGTGAGGTGCTAAAAATTCCTAGGAAATTTCAATTAACCTTACCTCAATTTACTCGAACTCGCACACGGCCTTATTATTATCTTAGTTATAAGATTTTATATTTTGTAATTAATTACAATAAATAAATATTTTTATTTTTTTTTAATATTTTTTGCTACTTTCTAGGACTAGCCAATTAATCCGTAAAGTTAATATAATTATTATTTCGTCATAAATTATATTTTAAATATAAAAATCGAATTTTAAATATATAGCTATTAAAATATTATATATTTTAAATATAAAAATCTAATTCTAAATATAAAATATATACCACGCATTTTTTTTCTTACAATTTCGTTGCATTTTCAATTGTTTTATTTATTTTTTTAATATTACTAACTAATTAGAAGTATCTTATTGAATATAAGAAAGAATATATAAAATTATTTTTATTATTTATTAATATCTTAGTTATAAGGTTTTATATTTTGTAATTAATTACAATAAAAAATTAATAATTTTTTTGTTTTTAACATTTTTTGCTACTTCCTAAGATTAGCCAATTAACCCATAAAGTTAATAGAATTAATATTTAGTAATTTTATTTATTCATTATATTTATTTATACGAATTTTTTTTTCTAACAAAATCATTGCTTTTTCAATTATTTTATTTTTTTTCTAATATTATTAACTAATTAGAAATATCTTATTTAATACAAGAAAGAAAATATAAAATTATTTTTGTTATTTATTATTATCTTAGTTATAAGATTTTATATTTTGTTATTAATTACAATAAAAAAATAATTATTTTTTTGTTTTTAATATTTTTTGCTACTTTCTAGGATTAGCCAATTAATCCGTAATGTTAATATAATTAATATTTAGAAATTCTATTTATTATATTTAAAATATAAAAGTCTTATTTTAAATATAATGACAAAAATTAACCACGCATTTGTTTTCTAACAAAAACATTGCATTTTCAATTATTTTATTATTTTTATGACTGCGAAACTCTGTTTGAGTTACAATAAAAATCAATTTCACATAAACACAGCTTAAATAATAAATAATAGAAGAGGAAGAGTAAATTATGAAATTAATTTTCTCTTACAAATTGCAATTCATAATTCTCTCTTTCCTTTCTTCAATGGGAACAGAGTACGGTTTTAGAAGAAGGAAAAACAACCCAAACAACCCTGAACGGTAGCAGTAATAACAATAAACAAAGGTTGAGTGATAAAAACTTTACTTCACATTCTTGACAACTTATTTTTTTACACACACCTACTAATTGCAAAATTGCACATTAAACTAATTTCATTTAATTACTTCATATAAAATAGAGTTGTGTAAACAAAAATTAAGGCCAAATATTAAAATTATATATTAATGTAGTTTTTAAATATGTACTCACTTGTAAAAATTGCAGCACCCTGCACATTGACTTTTGTCAGGGTCAATAGAGTGAAAATGCCAACAAATGTGAGTTTAATCGCAAACAACTTCTTTATTACATTGTTGTTGTTGTTGTTTTTGTTATTGTTGTTGTAGACTTTGGTTATGTTTTTGTTGTTGCTGCGCATGCAACTATTGAAGCTGTGTTGTGAAATCATTTTTTTTTTATTTTGTTTGAATATTTTTATTTCTGCTTGTTTGGCTTAATTAAATACACCAATTATAATTTAAAATTTAATAAAAACTAAAGTTAAACGAATTTTAAATGTACGCTATACGCTACATAAAGCTGCACTCAAACTTTTATTAACTCATTAAACAATTTAACAATTTCAATTCAATTAACAAAGACCAAAAAACTAAAACAAAAAAATCGCCAAACAAAACTAATTTTGCAATTCTCCATAAAATTTGTCACAATATTTTCTTTACATCAATATTTTTTTTTTATCTCTCATTTATCACACTTTATACGTACATCTCCTTTATAGCTTTTATTCAATCACAAATAAATTTCAATATTTTTTTACCACAAAACAATATAAAATATAAAATAAAATTTAACTTTTCTTTTTGTTTAATTTTTTCAACCAGCATTTAAGCCGGAATCGTTTAAATGCGATTCACGTCTCGCTGCTTAACAACAAACATCCGATAAACGAACAAAACACCACGAGTCACAAATTCAAACTGATCTCACCTTTTTCAGCTGCTGCCGAAACGTAGCTAACGTTTTGCTTCTTTCATCAAACGGGTAAACACGAACCACACCATAGCACCACCATACACATTGCGCAAAAACAATAACAACAACGCTGTGGCTTAAGAAAACTACTTGTAACCAACAACCAACAACAACGCATGAGCAAGGTGATGATCTCACAAGACTCAGGTCTCTTAAATATTGATTTGTGATTTGTTTTAACTATTGCCAGCCATATGATTTTCTACGTTTTCAGTATAGATTTGATTATAATACACAAACAAATGTATGTGGGTAAGGGCATGTAACACACCCTCATGTATTAAACAAAACAAACAATAACGCAGTTGCTTTGTCAATAGGAAAATAAAAATAAAACTAAAAGCAAGTTTTCAACTGCGTTTTCGATGCAACCAAACAGAGCGGAGTGAGAGAGATAGAGTAAGAGAGAGTATATGATAAGCAGCTTGATAGTAACACTATGTAATGAAAGTAAACGTACATTTTTTTTCAAAGTAAGTGTTTTTGTACTATAAAATTGAACTAAAAAGAATCACATCATAATTCTGTGATGTGCATTATATTTTATTGATGTGCTAAAGATAAAGATGCTTTTTTTTAAATGTTGATATAATGATCATTAATTTTTTTTTCCTTTTTTTTCGCGTTGGATTTTTAGTTGTTTAGGACAACTATTTTATTAACATACAAAATATATATGGTAATATAAACTACTTCCGAATATAGACACGTGCTTCTTATTTTCATCACGCTTGAATCATAATGTCACCCTTATTTAGAGTTGCCAAAGGTATGCGTTTTGTGAAAGTAACAATCGGCTATTTGGAAGCCACAGAGTAAGAGTTTAATGCAGTGTTTCCACTGCTTACTTAGTAAGTTGCTTAAGTAACTTTCGAATTTTGTCGTTTCCATTAATATAAGTTACTTATTGTATGAGAAAGAACTCTTATGTGCCATAAAGTTTTTTGAATGTTTTAAGAGAGCTTCTGTTTCTTTAAAAAAATTAAACTCAATAATACATCACACAAAAAATTAATTATATAGTTGACATATTAAACCTTTAATATATACATATAAGTTTTACAGATCCATCACATATGCAATTAAATGAAACAAAAATTTTATTAAACACTTACTTTCTCTGTACGTTTGTTTACAGCTCAGCTGTTGTTTGTTTACATACAAAACATATGCAAATATTTCATATTTCGGTAATATCCCTTGTGGGAAATTTATTTTTAAGGGTTGCATTCGACATTTATGATTTAATATTTCTTGCATTATTTTTAAACGAGCTAAAAATTACGAAAGCTCTTTGTTAATGAAATTTACTTAGTAAGTTAAACCTCTTAAGTAAACAGTGAAAACATACTACGATCCATTGAAACCAGCTCTTAGAAACAAATTAAAAAAATCTCAGTTATCAGACTGTTAAGATATTTTAGCTATAATCACATTCTAGTAATTAAGAGGAAAAAAATAGGAGCTTAGTATTTAGCTTAGTATTCATCTAGATGATGATGAGTACTTAATAAAGGATTAAGACTTTTTAAGAATTTAATCAATGGAGCATATTACTATATTCGCAATTGTACAATGGAATTGTATTGAGAGAAGGATCAATTTCATTGGTACAGATAGCAAGGGATTGGCTTGACCTATTGGAAAGAGCTCAGAGAAGCTCAGTGATAAATTTTTAGGGTGTAGAATATCAGGTGAAATATTATGGTGACGGGCTAGATGTCTGCATGCCAAAGATAACTGATACTCATCCATTTTTAACAGTACAGTGAATAAATTCGTAGAGTAGTGGTGGCCAATGGACTTGCGTGTGTGTAAACTTAGTCATGTAGGACTTTCCTCTCCGCAGTGCGCAGGTGTTTCATTTGAGGCAAACTTATGCCGAACCAAATTGGGACTATATTAGGAGTAATTATCATTGTACCGATAAGTCGTATGTAAACGATAAGTGTCGATGCCGTTTCGTGCCGTTCACCTGTTTTTACCATAGAAGAGCTCTGTGTACGCTTAGCTGCAACATTCCACAGTGCGGAAAATCCTGTGTGCTTTACTGCAACATTATTTTCGGTGGCAAGTTTGTAATAGCAATTGGCCTGGTGTGATGCGAGGCTTAGTCTGGTGCTAAAAAATTTTAATGGTGACACAAATTGGTTTCTTATGCCTTCATTGTAGAATTTGACATTTGCCATAATATGTCTGCCTCAAAATTTAACATTTTATATAATATGTCGTAAAAAATAGATGGAATAAGTATAATGGTTGTTTGATAGCAGTGACAAAGCAGCAGGTTACCACATTTCCCGCAAGAACCTTGAACACATAGAAATTGGTTTTATCCTTTTAAATTTACATCAGTTAACAGTTTTGTCTTTAGGATCGGATTCCACAATTTCTATAATTAATGTATAAAGAAAAGCACTGTTCCTCCGCGTGAAATCTTAAACGCTAGTTAGCAGACCGATCTGTAGTAAACCTTACTGTATTCCGAGGTATCAGGTAATTGATATTTAGAATATGGAAATGTTTTTGGATTAATTTTACGCAGATTTGTATGTGACTAGAAACACTCAGAAAACGACTTGTTGAACTATAATTTGGCATGTAGGTGAAGTAGATGATATATCGAATATTCTCCAATTAAACAAAACAATCGGTTTTGATTCTACATTCCTAGTAATTACCGGATTTACTAATTTAGTAGCAAAAAGCTAACCAATTTTAGTATTCTTGAATGAAATAAAGATTTCGGCGTCCAATGGATATGGATAAGCCTCGAGTGCCGGTAAACACGCTATGCAAGAATGAGACACATAAGTACCGGTAAGCAAGATCTATAAGACCTGGTCCAGTCTACCTCCTATTCTATTGCCCAATGTCTCGTTTAAATCGATATTATCTTAAATACTTCCGATCTATTCCATATATTAACTCTGAAGTTCTATATTTTAAACATGTTTTTATGTTTTTTTATCCGAATAAGATCAAAAGACTTGAACTAAAGTTTATTAAATTGCTAGGTTTATCCATAATCTTAATAACTTGTAATACTTTCTCCAAGGATATCTCAATTGTGAGGTATCATAACGCTGCTAAATACACCAAAAAAAACTTAATGGGAAAAATGTGGATATTAAGTCAAACTATTATTAATAAGGTTTGATAACTTCAAATACTGATTTTTGATGTAAGAAATAATATTGTTCTAGAAGCTTACTATACGGCCATACCTTCGTGATTTTTTGGATATCACCAAGCTACACAGACACAAATCCATCAAAAATCAATTACTTTTTGTTAAATCTGAATTGATCGTAATTAAAAAATCTCTGTTTCAGAATTTCTAATTTTTTTTTCTAAAAAAAATATTAAAAAATATTTATTGCATTATATAAAAAATTTATTGTCGTGTTATTCTTTACTGCAGCACAAATAATACTTCACAATCCATCAATTAGAACTGTATACTCTGTCTGTATCAAAGTGATTGTGGAGATATGAAGTCTTTTAATTATTTTTCTTACTTCACCTTTGCCTTGCGGTTTTCGAATGTTCATTCAGTGATTGTTGGTAAAGAGGAAGTCTTACTCATATCTGCTGTCATGACTCATATGAAATGTTGAGACATGCCAAAAAGTGTGACTTGCCGAAAGTCTGGCTTAACCTACTTAAAAAACGGGAATTGCATTGTAATTTTTCGCGCCAATAATTTCAATTGAGAAACCAACAAAGACAACTTCAAGACGGGAATGCACTCCATGGGGGAATGATGACTGCTTTCCATTTTGTAACTGTACTTGAAGGTTAATTTGCATGAAATATTGATTAAATTTAATGAAATTTTGTACTTCTGTATTCTAAGGTTTGATTTGTTAAAACTTCACTGTTGTACTTTCAAATTATTATGGATAAAAGTTATTCGCAAAACCATCAAAGATCATATATATAAACCATACATACGTATATACTTGATCATCGTGATGATTCGATTTGATTTAGTCATATCTGTCTGCAGTCCATTTATCTCTCTGCATCTCTTGATAATTTAAATATTATTAATGATTATTTGTAGGTGGTTTTACGAAATCCCGACAGATGAAGTTTAGATAATATTAAGTCCGCTACTCTGTCATACATTGTGACCGAAAGGTTTTCGGAGGTTCTCATTTAAAATTCGCGCGCTGTATATTTTTCGATATTTTAAGTTTATGTAGTTTGGCAGCACTGTCCTTAATTACTATGCCAAAAATGAGCGCGATCTGTCAGACAGTTCGTTTACGGCAGCTGTTGAAACCAGTTCACCTCAGTAGTGCGTTGCGAAAAAAACAATGGAAAAAAATATTGAACAAAGAGTTTGCATCAAATTTTGTTTTTCGAACGAAATTTCGTGTGCAGAATCGTTGCGAATGCTACAAAAGGCTTATGGGGAATCAGTTTTATCGAAAACTCAAGTTTATGAGTGGTACAAAGCCTTTCAGGACTGTCGTACGACCGTCGAAGACATGCCGCGTTCTGGACGACCTTCGACCTCTACCACCGACGAAAACATTGAAAAGGCAAAGGAAATCGTGTTCAAAAATCCTCATGTGAGTGTTAGAGAGATAGCACGAGAGCTAGGCATCGGTCGTGAGATGGCTCGTTTGATTTTGGTGGACAATTTGTGTATGCGACGTGTCAACGCCCGGCTTGTTCCGATTCACCTCAATTTGTTCAACATTATCAACGATTTTAAGGCCAAACATTCAATAAATACCATCGAACAGCCACCGTATTCACCTGATCTTGCACCGTGTGACTTTTTCCTGTTTCCCAACCTCAAATTACCACTCAGAGGAACGCGTTTTGAATCCATAGAAGACGTAAAACAGAATTCGCAGAGGGAACTCAAAGCCATACCGGAAAGCGCCTATAAAAATGTTTTGATGATTGGAAGAAACGTTGGCATTTGTGTA